GTTGTCACTTGTGTCCTGACAAAATCTCACTTCTTGTTATTACAGAGCTGAAAATATAACCTAGTCTTATTGTGAGAGTAACTGAATTATACCACCATTGAATTCCCAACCTAAAATTCTACGGAAGTTGAAGTGAGATCATTGATTGGCAAAAAATGGGATTCTGATATTTAGGGTGGTAACATATGGACCCATCACTCATCTGTCAGTTTGTCATACTGTGATGGCTTGTTTGTTGCTGTGATTTTGGAATCTATGTCACAGGTATTTTAAATACCAGTAGGGTCATCCACAGTGGACAGGTTTCAGCTGAGCTTCCATATGAACACAGACTGGGAAGAATGAGAGACTGATTACTGCAGAATATTTAGTCACTGAAAACCTTATGAATATAGAGGAGCACTGTCAGCAACTATTGAATATTCAAACATGATGAAGAGCAACAGAATATTGTCATATATAGTGCCAGAAGATAAGCTCCTCAAGTTAGAAGTCACTCAAAATACAACTGGGGGATAGCTGCCTCCTCAAAGTAGAGTTGACTGTGAAGATGCAACTAGTTTAAAGCCTTCAGGATTTTCATTTACAGATGGGGCACAACTCAAATTGCAGAGAAATAGCTGCAAACATCCATTAATAACTGGAACATGGAATGTATGACGTGTGAATCTCAGAAAATTTGAAGTTGCTCAAAATGAAATGGAACTCATAAAAATCGACATTCTAGGCATTGGTGATGCATTCCTCATCAAAAAGAACATCTCAATATCTGTCTTGAATGGGGGGAGTAGTTAATCTTACATTTCAGGAAGAGCGCTTTCTAGGATCATTAAGGAAGAAGAGCATAATTGGAATGTGGGACCCTCCAAAGAAGCAGTGACATCAGAGATGAGGACATGGAGAAATAGAGCAGCTGAAGACTCTACACACATGGAAAGAGAAAGGCTGTGTGCTTGCAGCCAGGAGGCAGACTTGCAGAATGTGCCCTTTGGTTGCTTAAATGATTATATATTCCTGAGTGCTTTTGTGTACATCCAAAAACAAAACAAAACAACAGAGGGAATAGAAGCAAATACTGTTGAATGAGGTTGCATGTAGGGGATTATGATCATTGCAATGAAATGAAATGTAAAATGTAAGCCTGATAAGTGTGAAACCTATGTTCTCCCATGTAAACTATCACTCAATTCACAATAAAAAAAAAAAAAAAAATCTGTCTTGAAGTACAACACTGTCTGTGATAGGGTAATATCCATATGCCTACAAGGAAGACCAGTTAATACCACTATATTCAAATGTACACACCAACCACTAAAGCCAGTGATGACAAAAACTGAAGAATTCTACCAATATCATCAGCCTAAAATTGATAAAACATGCAATCAGGATATATTGGTAATTACTGGCAACTGGAATATAAAGGTTGGAAACAATGAGGAAGGATCAGTAGTTGGAAAATATGGCCTTTGTGACAGAACTAATGCTGGAGTTTGCATGACAGAATTTTGCAAGGCCAATAACTTTTTTATTGCAAATACCTATTAAACAACATAAAAGATGACTGACTATACATATGTACCTCACCAGGTGGAATACACAGTAATTAAATTGACTACATCTGTGGAAAGAGACAGTGGAAAAGATCCATATCATTAGCAAAAAATGTCAGGGACAGACTGGAACGGACCATCAACTGCTCATATGCAAGGTTAGGTTGAAGCTGAAGAAAATCAAAACAAGTTGACAAGAGCCAAAATATGACCTTGAATATATCCCACCTGAATTTAGAGATCATCTGAAGAACATATTTGATGCATTATACACTAAAGATCAAAGACCAGAAAAGTTGGAGCTCTGGTAACGTAGTGGTTACGAATCGGGCTGCGAGCCACAAGGTCAGCAGTTTGAAACTACCAGCTGTTCCGTGGGAGAAAGATGAGGCTTTCTGCTCCCGTAAAGATTTACAGCCTCGGAAACCCTACGCAGGGTCACTATGAGTCGGAACCAATTCCACGGCACATAACAACAACAACAACATCAAGAGCATCATACAGTAAGATCAGAAAGAAACCTTGACCAAAACGGAAGTCAGAAGAAACTCTGAAAACTTGCTCTCCAGTATAGAGATGCTAATAAAGAAACTGGAAGAAATGAGGAGTTAATGAACTGAGTAGAAAATTTCAAAGGTCAGCTCGAGAAGACAAAGTCAAATATAATAAAATGTGCAAAGACCTGGAGTTAGAAAACCAAAAGGGAAGATACCTCTCAGCATTTCTCAAGCTGAGGGATCTGAAGAAAAAAGTCAATCCTTGACTTGCAGGATTCTATGGGCAAAACATTGAATGATGCAGAAAGCATCAAAAGAAGATGGAAGGAATACATGGAATCACTGTACCAAAAAAAAAAAAAAATGTTGATGTTCAAGCATTTCAAAAGGTAGCATATGATCAAGAGCCATACTGTCATTGTGATTTTATATAGATCTTGTTGTTAAGTGTAGCACCATAGTCCTGTATGGGGTTTTTGAGGAGGGGTTGATGAGTTTGAACTGATCTTTTGGTTAGTTATTGTTGTTAAGTACTATCAAGTTGGTTCGGACCCATAGCAACCCTCTATAGGATTTCTGAGGAGCGGCTGGTGAGCTTGAATCACCGACTTTGCAGTTCAAACTGACTTTGCAGACCAGTGCATTAACCCATGGCACCACACTAGGACTCCTGGCTAGTAGTCCAGTGCTTATCCTACTGTGTCACACCAAGACTCCAGATTGTTCTTAATAGAGCATAATGTTCAAGGCAGACATTTAAAAAAAGTAGTTTAGTGAAACTGTTGTTTGTTTCAATTAGACCTTAGGAGATATCTTTAGTTTACATTTTAAAGATTATCTTAGGACAATAGTTTCAAGGGCGCATCCAGCTTCTATGACTTCAGAAAATCTGGCATTCATTAGATTTTAAAATTTTGCTCTACATTTCCCACCTTTTCATCAGAATTTATAGGAAGTTCTTAATGTTTACGTGCTTTTAACCTTTCCACACTTTGGCTGGCTTGAATTTCTAACTCTGTAATATCTTCTAATAGGTGAGATTTCTATCTTCTAGGGCCACAGAGAACTAAATCAGATAACTTCTTACCCCTTCAAATATAGGAAGGCAAGAAGCATGTCAATCTTGAGCATCTCCTCAAACACCTATCTATGAATTCTACCATCCTGGCTCCCCCATCCTGAGATAGTCTGAACCAAAAGAACTTTGATAAACTGACCATTTAGCCTAACACTCAATCTGCTTATCAAGGTAATTTAAAAGCAGAATTTCATATTTATCATTAGGATATGCATGACACTCAAGATCATCAAATTAAAGAAGTAAAGAGAGCATTATAGTTTGTTCCTTTTACTTTTATTCATATAAATACTATATAGCCTGATTAGTTTTCTTGTTTCTTTTTCATGGTAGGTACTTAAAATTTTAGATGTTCACTTCTATACTGACATCATGACTATGAAATAATTATTCTTTAATTTGAAATGAATGTTTCATATGCACAATCAGTTGTCAAATGAGCCATATTTGTGACTTGCCATATAGAACCTGCTGATATTAGGATTAGCATTTATTTCTTTTGGTAAAAAATACATCTTTGTAAGATACCTTTGGATAAAATGCCATTGTTATCTTCCCTTTTTTTTCCAGATCAGGCACTTGAAAATGAGAGATTTCAGACATGAGCAAACCAGCTCATTAAAATTCATTGGATTAAATTTCATCAAAAAATTCAAGCAATGTGTGAAGAAACGGCATTTAGCATTTACATCAGAATTAGTAAGATGGATAATGATAAAAATATTTTTGATGTGGCTTGACCTCTGGTACCCTAAATATTCATTTAAATAATATTATAGCTTCCATTGTTGATTGATAGTTTCGTCTACAAGGATCTATTTTAGGTGGTCATCCTCTTTTTAATCTAATACCAGTATCATCCTACTCCATGGCTCAATTTCTATAGAAAAATCTTAATTCTCATAGCAAAGTTCAGTCAAAGTTACAGCCCTGGGGAATGTGGGTCTATGAAAGCTCAGATTTGGGAGGTGTAAGGCCAGGGTTGGGAAATTCACACCCTCAACATGAACAGTTGACTTCCTCCAACTTCCAGAATGGTTACAGAACCCACAACTCTGCTTCTTGCACAATGACTGAAGAACAAAGGTGAGGTCTGCTTCTTAGCAACTGCACAGTCCATCTGCCACTGGCACTACTTCCTCTGTCAAGAAGGCAATCAGTGGAGTGTAACAAGGCCAATGCTTTGGGATAGCAAATGTTAGAGAGGTTGTCTGGAATCCTGACAAAGAGAGATTTACTTTCCACAAATAAAAAGAAAACCCCAACCACTTTGTATTCAATCCTTAACATAAAATTCTATCACCTTGAAAAATAACGCACTTTGAAATCTTTTGCCACATTTATAAAAAGAAAAAATTTTTTTAAATTCTCTAAAAATTTTATATAAATAATCTTATTATTAACAAATATAAAACATTTGTAAGACATGTGGTGACTTGTTTAGGTAATATTCAAGGGGGTGGATACATAGTAAGGCCTTACAATTGAAATGATCTATTTGGTAATAACTTTAGGAAGAGATCTGTCAATAAAATAATTGTTTTGGAAAGAAGAGTTACAACTTTTTCCAAAATGTCAATAAGAATAAGTGTAAATACCACATACTTAAAATGTTAATATGAATTCAGTTAAAAAGTTAAAACAAAGTGGCACCAAGTTTATGACAATTTTCAACACAAAAATGTAGCTCAAAGATTTTTAAAAAAATTAATAGCTCCAAAAAGGAAAGAGCATTTGCAACATACAACAACAATATCATACATAAAGTGCTATGAGAAAATGGAGCTCTATAAACTTCACCCTATTCATAGACTAACAGAGTGTTATCTAGATCTTTAGGTCTGAAATACACACCACATGGGAAAGTCAGCATGACTAAAAGTCAGACTTAGGGCTGTCCTTTACCATTTTTCTTTTTTCTTCCAGTGTGTGTTTAAATATTTTCTTCAGGGTATTGTAAACTACTGGTCCATTTGCAGAGTCAAAATTAACCTGGTGACAAAGAAAATCTGCTTTTAGGGCACTGTAACAAGAATTTTACCCGTCTCTATTTTGGGAGATAAAAAGACGAGTGAATGAAAAAAAACAAAC